TTAATTCTTGAAAAAAGTAGTATTTTGATTTGTAATGCAGAGGGCGGAGTCGTGCAGTTCATTTCCAAATTCGTAACTTGAATGTGTAAGGAAGAAAATGAGACGTGATAATAATTTTTTACGAAAAGAAGCCAATATCAATGTTTCAAAAAAAACATTGGTGAAAAGAAAGTGATATTAAAACTATTTGATTTCAATATTGTAAATTAAAAAAGAAAAGAAAAACTTAAGATTTCATTATTTCAAGCTCTGTAATGTTTCACTAAAAGAAAGAGATAACGCGTCATTATGGTTTGTATTACTTTGGAACGAGACAAATACGTGTTTTGAAACCATGCACAACCTAGATGCTGTTGTTTATGGCTTACAAACTAGGAATAGTCAACGTGTACAATTGTTGTAGAGGAGGGCAAGAATGGAAAGTAAGTGGAAAATAAATCTGATAGCACACATCATCGACAGTGGTGGCTTTTGGCTGCTGAATATATAATTAGTAAACAACTGTTCTATAAAGTGCTAAAAAATAAAGTAAAAATTACACCCAGGGAATAAGAAATTAAGTTTTATGTTTCATAATTCAGATTATAAATAATTATTTAATATTTTGTAAATAAAATATATTATTATTAGAAATTAAACACATATACACTTTCTTCCTCTACACACACACACACACACACACACACACACACACACACACACACTCACTCACTCACTCACTCTATCTTTATGCATTGCCCTAATTTTTCACACCTTTCTGATTGTAGCGGCAGCATCATTGTTGGTGCACGAATTTGATTTTGGATCTGGTTTGTGCAGTGATTTTGGTGACGGTGGTAGTGGTGGCAGTGATTGTGATGTTGCTGTGGTAGTAAAGGTGGAGGTTGGAAAGGTTCTGGCTATTATGTTGGGTTTTTGGCTGTGGGGGATCTTTTGATGATGTTTTGGTGGTGATCGTTGTGATGTTGGTGGTGGTGACGCTATGGTGCGTTAGTAGAGGTGTGCAATGGCGGTGGTGGGAATGGAGGTGTGGTGGGTGCGATGGTGACGTGCTATTGTAATGCTAAGAGTGTGGTGGTTGGGTGAGTTGTGTAGTGTTATGCACGGTTATGGTTGTGGTGGGTGGGTGTGGGATGTAGTAGTACTGGTGACGAAGATTTTGGTGGTGTTGTGGCTTATGATAGTGGTGAGGTGGTTGTCACAAATAACTTGGTTGACTGTAATCATTAAATTAGTTAATTCGTGACTAGTAAACAATATATGTGGCCAATTAAAAAGATAAATTGTGATAAAAAAAATAATGTGTGACCAAAAAATTTGTTAATTTGTGAAGTAAAATAAGTTGTGACTTATAATATTTGTGATTGATAAATAAATTGTGAGTTATAAATTTTTAATTTGATATCGATGAACAAATTGTGACCTCTAAAATTTTTTAATTGTGACATGTAAATTTTTTTATTTGTGACCGAAAATAATGTGACTAATTAAATCATTAATTTGTGTTCAAATTATATGGATCTGTAACCTTAATATATTTAATTAACAAAGTAATTAATTAATTAAATCATGTATAAATTTTAATAAATATATGATTTTTGAAATTTAAAACTTTTGTTCCTGGTTTTGAAATAAGTGATACTTAATATCTTAGTTATTAGTTATGAATTTTTTCCAAAAATAAATTGTTTTTTAATTATATTTTATTAGAATTATAAAAGACCAAATCCAATCTTTAACAAAAGGGAAAATTACCTAGATCCCTTCTTTTCAAGATTACATTTCTAAAACAAGTGGGTGAAAGATTAAATTTCAATAGTCAAGTTATAAATACTAATTTTTAAATTAATTAATTATACCCACCCACTCGACCACCCCTGAACACTTCTTTTACCCCATACCCCGATTCATTTTCTAACCCCCACACACACTCTCTCTTCCCTAAAAATTGATTAGCACTTTCTTACCCAAAAATCTCATCGGTGGCTTCTTCCCCACTCCCACCCTTTAGATTCCAAGCACCTACCACTTCTCTCGCCGGAGTTTCGCACAAATCTCTTCTTTGAAAGCTGATGGGCTTAGATTTTGGGAAAGTGCCAATGAAGTACATGGGTCATCAACCATTCTGTGAGAAGAAGAAAACCGAACATGAACGTGTGGACCATATGGTGAAGAACAATCAGATCTACTGCTTCTCTCTCATATTCTTCCTCATCTTTTCGAGAAATAACTGAAGAAGAATCTTGGAAATTTTTATTGAGAAATATTCAGTAATCAATTGGTTGGTGTTTTTTGAAGATATTGGTGGAAGTTATGGTAGTGATAATTGTTGTTGTAAATTTGAGTTAAAGATGTTAGTAGTCGTGGTGGTTATTATTTTTCCGAATAGATCTGCTGTGGTGGTTGGAAATTTGATTTTTTCTGTTCGAGATCTGGTTGTGACTGTTTGTGACCTATTTTGTGTTGATTGTGACTTAAGATTGATCTGGCACAGACAGTCACATTATATACAAACTTGGTCACAAACCTCGTATCAATTTACCCCAGATCTTGTATCAATTTTTAACCCACACAAAAATTAGTTCGGCACCCTCTTACCCAAAAACCAGATCTACAACTTCTTCCCCACCCACCCTCTAGATTCCAACCACTTACCAGTTCTCTCATCGGAGTTTCACAAGAGAAGTGTGGTGGTGCTGGTTGGTGTTTTTTTGAAGGGTTGGTGGAAGTTGTTGTTGTAGATTTAAGGTGAATATAGTATTTATGGTAATCAATTTGAGTTAAAGATGTTAGTAGTGGTGGTGTTTATTATTTTTCCGAACAAATCTGCTGTGGTGGTTGGAGATCTGGTTGTGATTGTTTGTCACGAATTTTTTATTGATTGTAACCGGTTGTGACTTGAGATTAAACTGATCATAGAGGATATTAAATACAAATTTGGTCACAATTAGTCACACTGAAGGCAAAGTTGGTCATGATGATTCTCAGATAACATAAGTTTGTGAATTGATCACATATAACACTGATATGATCATAGATAACACGATTGCAAATCTGATAACTACAATGCACTACTATGACCATTATTACAATTTTTGGAGATTTTTCTATCACCGGAGCCGGAACAATCGGTGGAATAGTCGCGGGAGCAGTTTGCCAAAGCAGTTGTCGAAGCATTCGCTGCAACAGTTTGTCGGAACGATTGTTGGACCAGTCGTCGAAGTGAATGACGGAGTCGATAGCTATCTCCAATGGAGAGGTAGAGGGAAGTTGGTGTAGTGGGGTGATAGGATGGGGTGAGTGAGGTGGCATAGAGTGGAAATAATTAATGTATATTATATTATAATTTAATATTTAATAAATATATTTAACATTTGATTTTTGAAATATTTCAATGAATTTGTTATTTATGAAATGTGTTTTTATAAGAGTAAATTTAACCAATAATCAGTGAACTTTACACTTGATTACTACTTGCTCACTCATATTTCATATATTACTGAATGCTCACTCATTTTTTCATATAATTACTCATTCACCACTCGTCTCTTTAAATAATTGGGCTACTTTTACGGCAAATTTTCGACAACTTCCAATCACAAAGAATGTCGAATTTTGATACCGTTGGAAAGCCCACGATGTCCTCTTCAATTACCACCCAAAATCTCATTATAACTCCAAGGGATTCGATCGAAAAATTGCCTTAAAAGTCGCCCAAAAATTCTGAAGATTTTTTGGGTGACTTTTAAGGCAATTTTTCGGCAACTTTCGACCATCAAAACTATCTAATTTTGATACCATTGGAAAGCCCACAATGTCCTCTTCAATTACCACCCAAAATTTCCCGATAACTCCAAAGGATTCGGCCGGAATAAACCCACAAAGTCAGTATCCCGAACTTTGTCCAGATTTTCGCCTTTTTAAGATGCTGACTTTGTGGGTTTATTCCGGCCGAATCCTTTGGAGTTATCGGGAAATTTTGGGTGGTAATTGAAGAGGACATTGTGGGCTTTTCAATGGTATCAAAATTAGATAGTTTTGATGGTCGAAAGTTGCCGAAAAATTGCCTTAAAAGTCGCCCAAAAAATCGGAAAATTTGGGCAGATTTTCAGAATTTTTGGGCGACTTTTGAGGCAATTTTTCGATCGAATCCCGTGGAGTTATAATGAGATTTTGGGTGGTAATTGAAGAAAACATCGTGGGCTTTCTAACGGTATCAAAATTCGACATTCTTTGTGGTCGGAAGTTGTCAAAAATTTACCGTAAAAGTAGCCCAATTATTTGAAGAGACGAGTGGTGAATGAGTAATTATATGAAAAGATGAGTGAGCATTCAGTAATATGTGAAAGATGAGTGAGCAAGTAGTAATCAAGTGTAAAGTTCAGTGATTATTAGTTAAATTTACTTGTTTTTATAACGTTGTAGTTATGTAGTTTTCCCTTTACACAAACAGCCCAAAGAAGCCCAAATCCAATCTTTTAGACAAACGGCCCAAATAGTTAAACTTGAAATCGCTCAAAATTGAAAAGAGCACGAACGACAGAGTTCATCCCGCGACTCCAGAGAAATCGCTCAAAATCTGCCGGTCACCGTGAGTCACCGAAGCCACCGGAAGTATTTGATTTCGGTTTTATTTCTTTTTTTCGTCACTGCTCGGATCTCTCCACTTCCTGTACGTTTCAATGAACCCTAACCTTCTAATTCCGGCTTCTGACTGTTTTATGTTATATTTGTCTGCTGAAACTTGATGAGGGCTTCTGTTTGAAAATGGGTTGCTGGGGCCTGGGTATTGTGTTTATGTGATTTGTGGGATTGAATGTTGCTGGGAATTGATTTTGGGCGTGCACTGGGCAGTGGCCATTGTGTTGCTATTGCTGGGGATTATGTTGATGGGATTGAGTTTGCTGGGGGAAGTTTTCTGGGAGGAATGAAGTGAAGATTATGTTACCAATTGATTTGTTTCATAATTATGTGATTCCATTTGTATAATTGAGCCACTTTATGCTTCAATATTCCCTTCCATCCCTGCTTTGCTATCTTTATTCTATATATATTGAGTTTGTTTTAATTGATTATTTGATTGCACATATTGAGAATGATGTATTTGACAATATTGGGAATGATGTAATTAATAATTATGAAAACATTATAAAAGTATGAGAATACGGAGAGAACAATTATAATAAGATTTCGAATGTTTTAATTTTTTTCACATTTCTTTTGCAAGTTTGATTGTCCCCCTAATTCAAAATGTATGTGATCGCCACTGAACATGCTAACCAAGACCTCAATAAAATTAGGTGTACTGTCAGCGGTAATCAGCTGGACAAAATCCAGCAGAATTCTTCACAAAGAGGAACTGCAACCGTGCAAGTTCAAGCAACAAATTTTCCATTTCTCAATTTCTGAACTCTGATTTTCATGTAGAAATTCAAAATTACGTATTTTTGAAAACTAATCATAAGCCAGAATGGGTGGAAACGAATTCCGATTCTTCTTATCGTGCGACATCAATCTCCCCGTCACTTTCAGAATCGAAAGATTAGAAGGCAAATTACCACCGCCCAATCCTCCTAATTCAGGTAATTGTGAAAAAAAAATCAATTATTTATTCTTCTCGTGTTGGAGTTTATTATTTATTTTGTGAAAATGTGTAATTTTCAGGATTAGGAATAATTGAATTCTTAATTACAATATTTGTGCTTGAGTTCAGATGATGTTGATTTTACTTCAGAGGAGAGAAGACCGGAGTTGTACGTTGAGTGCTTGTTATACATTGATGGCACACCGTTTGGTCTTCCCATGAGAACAAGGTTCAGTTTTCATAGCATCAATTGATTTTATTTTGTTATTTTTCTTGCGCTTTTAAAAAATATTTTCTGGGTATTGATTAATATTTTATAAAAATCTCGTAATGCAGGCTGGAATCTTCAGGTCCATCATATTGTTGGAATGAACTAATTACATTAAATACTAAATATCGCGATTTGACCGCAAATTCACAACTCGCGGTCACTGTAAGTCATCCATCATATTTTGGAATCAGCTTATTATTTTTGTAAAATAATCTGCTGGTATATGCTGTATTGATATTATGAGAACATGACTTTTAGTTGTATTTATTCATGTAACTTCGTAATGAATTTCTGTTTTATGCTGATGATTTGCGAATGTAGGTTTATGATGTTTCTAGTTGTAAAAGTGATGAAGTGGTTGGTGGGGCAACCATTCATCTGTTTAACATGAAAAAACAGCTCAAGACTGGTAAGCACAAGCTTAGACTTTGGACAGGGAAAGAAGCAGATGGTTCTATCAATACAACCACTCCCGGGAAGGTTTGTTTTTGTTTTAAATATCCATTGAGTGAGCTATGTACACTCAAAAATATACCCCACTGTACTCATGCTACATATGGAGCATGAAATTGGGATGAGAAATGGGATCAAAATTGATTTTGACAATTCCAATTCAAATGCTCCAAACACATGCAGCAAAAATATAGTAACAAAATAGTGGGATGGCTTAATTGGTTGAGTCATGGATTTCTTAACGATCATGGTTCAATTCTGTTACTTATCAAAAATAAAAAATAAAAAATAATATATAGTAACAAATTATTGATTGCATACTGGTGGTTTGTGTGATAGGTTCCAAAGGAAGAGCGTGGGGAGTTGGAACGTCTGGAAAAGCTACAAAATAAGTATGAGAGGGGACAGATTCAAAGAGTTGATTGGCTGGATCGTCTTGCATTCAAAGCTATGGAGAAAATCAAGGAACGTGAAAGTATAAAAAATGGAAGTACTCATGTATATATTGTGGTTGATTTCTGCAGTTTTGAACATCGAGTGGTGTTCCAGGTACTTCCCTGCGTGTCTATATTATTTTGTATCTTCTTGACACACTAACAAAAAAAAGAAGGTTCCACTCCAGAGAGCTTGTGTATAGCATTTACTTCATACCTTATCAAAACTAATGTTTGAGTGCTGAATTCAATCAGAAGAGGATATATCAGAATACTGCTTCAGCAAGTTGTGAGAACCTCATTTTTGGTATTTTTTTCTTTGTACTTTTGTCTTTCAAAAGTAAAATTGGTAATTTCAGTATCTGCTTTTCTTACAAATTTCATGGAGTAGAATCATTTGCTTGCTCACGTAACACGTTGATAGTGCTCATAGTACACATATTATAACCATTGACACAATATTATGATCTTTCTCTTGTTATAGACATTCAAAGGGCGCATCAAATTGTTCTCATGTAACAATCTTTTACTTATGAATTTCATTTTTAGCAAAACCTTAGTTAGCATTTTCCTCATAGATGGTTTTATGGGTTATTTTTTATAGATATGGGATAAAGCAAGTGAGGTGCTCAGCTGTCAAGTTTTAGTTCCTCTATAGTGAAGCACTTGCTTTTTAACGGTTGTGTTGATTAGATGTATTATAATGTTGCTTAACTTTGATGAACATATAGTCAACTACCTATAGCCTTCTTTCTGAAGGTAGTTTGCGTAATTTAGAGGATGACCATAATTGCATAGTATGTGACCACTCAACCAATAGAAATGACAAAATTGAGTTTAAAAGGTCATGGCTTTATGAAGTTTGCTGACGTTAAATGCAGTGAGTAATATGTTCTTTCTCCAAGTATGTGGAAGTTTGGTTTCATTGAAGTATAAGGGTGATCCTAATACCAATTTTCTTTAGCCAGTGTTATCTGACCAAGTCATACTTTTATGCATCTATCATTCATACCTGTTGGATGTTCTTAGCTACGATTTTCACCTATATCATGAAACTCCTTTTTGCATAGCCATTATCTCATCTTGAAGTAACTGAAATTTCTCCTACTGAAATAGGAATCATATATTTCTTTTTCTAATTGATAGATTTGATACTTAACATCACTTGATATGTAGGAATCAGGAGCAAATTTTGTAATACCATCTCCTATAGCTTCCACAAACGAACTGGTCACAGTTTGGGATCCAGAAGTGGGAAAGATTAACCCCTCCGAGCACAAGCAACTAAAGCTGGCTAGGAGTTTAACTCGTGGCATCATTGACAGAGACCTGAAACCAAGCTCCACTGAAAGGAAGTAAGCCTTTTGTTTTAACACTGTTGTAAGTTTTCTTCTGTTGTGGAAATGTAGTATCTATTAGCTGAACACGATGCAGAGAAATATGGTATTTCTTATTGGTATTTAAATAATATCAAGGACATATGTAAGGAACTAGTCACGGGAGTGAAATTTAGTGAAGGTAGGCATAAGCTTGTCTCAAGGTTCTGACTGACTCTTAATCTTATTACTTTAGTCATGAGATAAGTTCATTTGATGTATGTTCTTCGTTATTGACTTGGTTATAGACTTATAGTTGCTAAGATTTTTTTTTTTTTTTTTTGGATGTGGGGCTGAATGGTAGTGTAGGACTTTAAAAGATCTCTCTCTGTGTATTTTTTTATAATTAATTAATTAATTTATTTTTATCTAAAAGACAGAATTAATATAAAATACAAAAAATGTTGTCATAGTCATAGTATGAACAAAAATGACAACGGAGGGCTATGATCCACTAATATAGGCAAGGAACACGCACATGCTGACCTATGACATTTTAAAACAGTAAGAAACAGAGATGACAAGAACATGTTCATTAAAATTGTTTATATTTATAAATTAGAATTTTGATAGAAAATCTAAATAAAACTAATATGTCTTTCTAGCTTTAGCTTTAGATTTTTATGGTGAAACTTTTTGGATAAGAAGACTTACTATTTGCCATACGAAATAAACTTCAAGTCATCAAGTGACAACGAGAGAAAAAATTCAAGCTGATATAAAGCAGTTTATATAACTTTTTCTCATGTGATTTTGATCTTTATACAAAAATATTTAACTGTTAAAACTTTCCTAATTTATATGAGTAATGTAATCTACCTACCTAGACAGATGATCATGAGCAACAGATGATATTAATTGATATGTCATTTTAAACCCATATCCTTATATTGAAGACATTAATTAATGCCACCTACGATGACATAGTTAGATTGCTAATGATCAGCAGACTAGATAATAACATTATTCAATTTATATTACAAAATTTAAAAGATGGAGCGTGTTGTGTCCTTGACAAATTTAAAATATATACAATAAGAGAAAACTTCACATGAACTGTTGCTATGTATTGTTGAGCGTCCGAGTAGTCAACTTCAAATGCTAGTTGCACACTGAAAATCCACCTTAGAAGTGTTCATGCTTCACATGTAGGACAACAAAATTTCATGTTTCCCCAAAAAGTTATTGTTTTAAGCATTTAAGTTTGATAATTAATACAGAAGAGAGACTTGGATTGGATGTTATATACTGAAAAAAGTGAATGCTAACGAACTGTTTTAAGAATTTTATGCAATTAGAAGATACTTTACAACTAAAATGGTTATACGAAATAGTAATTATATTGGCTATACAATCTTCAGAGGGCATAATGTTCACTAGAGAAATGTAACAGAAATGAGGATCTTAAGATAGATTTGTGGCTATATCTAGAATGGATAAAATAAGAAATTAGAGCAGGGAACAACAATTGAAGGTGATAATGATTGAAGATATATACTGAAATAACAATTGCTATAATAGGGACTTCTTTTTATGGATCTGAAGAAGCTCTCATTTACAAGAGTAACGTGTTGAGTGAAGGAAATGATATAAAGGCAGAGGTGGACTAAAATTACCATGACCTATTGTAGTTAAAAATTTGATTTCATTGACTCTATCACCATGCAAGACAGGACATAGTAGCTATTCACGGCAACCTTAAAATTTCGGGGACTAAAGATTAGATTGTTTAGATGTTGTGCTGATTGTTTACTTCTTCAGCGTGAGTGAAGTTCTCAAGTAAACCAACTGGATACTCTCCATGTCATGTAGGATCTGAATTGCTAATTGTTTCCAATGCATATAGATGCAAATTCTGTCTACACTTTATCATTTACCTAATTCAAGAAGTATTACCAAAATTGATGACTGAAAAGAGCTGCTCCCAGTTGGGAAAGAAGGTGGTCGATACTTTTTTGTGTGGGTGATGTGGAGGGAAAGAAGAGCCTCTGAAGGCTGGAAGGTGCAGATTGGTGTTTATAAAGCTCTATTTTTTAAATAAAAAAATTAACTAAATAATGGTAATAATAGTCAGCACCGCAACTTCTTTATGTTAATTGGATTTTTCGTTCTAGTTAATCTGAAATCCTATTTATATACTAGGTCAATTCAAAGAATATTGAAATACCCCCCAACAAGGACCTTGAGCGGAGAGGAGAAGCAGCTTCTCTGGAAATTTCGTTTTTCATTAATGTCTGAAAAGAGGGCTTTGACAAAATTTCTACGGTGTGTTGAATGGAGTGATGTTCAGGTGAAGTCCTAGTGGTTCCATTTATATGATGTTTTGAATTTTCCTTTAATATACACATATTTCTTGCATCATTTTCTTCATCCTCCTTTTTCTACTTGTATAAATTATGAAATTATTATAATTTTTGTTATTTTCAGGAAGCAAAGCAGGCATTAGAATTGATGGGCAAGTGGGAGACAATTGATGTTTCTGATGCACTTGAGCTTCTATCTTCAGTTTTTGAGAGTGAAGAGGTTAGTATTGAAGACATATTGGCTACTGTGTGCTTCTCTCATCCTCATTCGAATTGTTCTATTTTGATTCTATTTTCAGCAAATAGCTGAGGAATAAGTAGTTTTGGATGCTTTTGTTGTTTGTAGTAATGAAGGTCTAATTTTTCTTCGGTTGGACTTGACCGAACATACTAAACAAAAACAATATATAAAATTAGTAAGCCAACTGAGTGTTTCTGAATTTCACCTCCATTACAGGTCCGTGCATATGCTGTTACTGTTCTTGAAAGAGCTGATGATGAAGAGCTGCAGTGCTACCTACTTCAGTTGGTTCAAGCTCTTCGGTTTGAACGTTCCGATAAATCCCGTCTGAGTCATTTCCTTGTGCAACGCTGTATGCTTCCTGTGAAAAAACCAAATTTTATAATGTTTTTGAGCTCATTATGAGTATGATCAGAATCATTTCTGAATTTTGGCAGCATTACGTAATATTGAGTTGGCTAGCTTTCTCCGGTGGTACGTTACAGTGGAACTTCATGATCCTGCATATGCAAGACGATTTTATTGTACCTATGAGATTCTGCAAGAAAGTATGCTGAAGGTTGGGGATTTTCTTTCTTATATAATTGCTGTTTATGCATTCATATACTTGTTTGATCAGTCTGAACACCATAGATTTTAAAGCAAGACTTTTGCCTGGTTCTTTTAAGTGCATGTTTGGTACAATATAGGACTCGATAAAACAAAATTTTTGTAGCTTCTTTTTTCTTGATACTGTCCAGTGCTATCCTGTCATAAAACATGCCAATGTATGGTTTCATGATATCGAAACCCTTTAAATGCCGTCTATTTTGAAAATTTACAGATAAACATGTATATTGCCGTCCCTTCTATTTATGATAATTCTAAACTCTAGCTTGTAGAATTCAAGGTTGGTTTTCTTCTAATAAAATCCACAGGAAATAATATTTCTTTTCGTGCTCAGACATATTGGTTGTTATGTAGTCAAGGTAGAGAGAAAATCTTGTATCATAATGAATGTTCAGTTTTGTGAATATAATGCATGGCCACTGCTGTTTCTTTAAGAAAATTCTGCAACTATACCAGTTCAGATGAAGGTATATCTTGTTCATCTTACTTTTTCTTAATTTCGAAGAAGTCAGCTTACTGGATTTTCATTTTCACAGTTGGGAGCTGGTGCTAATGGTGATGAAGATGGTTTTAAGTCATGGCAGAGTTTGGAGCGTCAAACAGAATTGACTGCACAATTGTGTTCTATAATGAGAGACGTGAGAAATGTGAGAGGTGGAACTCAGAAGAAGATTGAAAAGCTTAGGCATCTTCTTTCAGGTCTTCTTAGTGAACTTACCTACTTCGATGAGGTAATTGCAAAGTTATTTGTGTATTGATCTTGGTTAACTTTTTGCGGCTAGTGTAAGATGCATGTTATGCTATTGGAAATTGAACATGTCTCACTTACTAGCCTACATGGTTTTTTTAATGATGACGAATTAGCATTCCTATTCCCTCTTCATTTTGAGACATCTGAGCAAGTTAATATACATTTTCAGCCAATTCGATCCCCTCTAGCACCTAGGGTCCTTATAACAGGGATCATACCATCAGAATCGTCAATTTTTAAAAGTGCATTGCATCCCTTGCGTCTGGCTTTCCGAACAGCAAGTGGTGGAAGTTGCAAGATAATATTTAAAAAGGGAGATGATCTTCGGCAAGACCAGTTGGTAAATTCCTAATATTTGTTACACACTTGATTTATCATTCTTTCATTTATGTGACTTGATTTAATGTATCACTCATTCATATATGTCATATGATGAGATAATATCAGGTTATTCAAATGGTGTCACTAATGGATCGATTGCTTAAGTTGGAGAATCTTGATCTGCATTTAACTCCATACAGAGTGTTAGCAACTGGACATGATGAAGGCATGATGGAATTCATACCATCCAAATCTTTAGCTCAGGTATTTTATCCTATCTATTGACCCTCTCTTGATGGTAGATGTTTTTACTGCTTAGATTCACCCTTGTTCATTTCTGATTTACAATTGTTCTTTAAAGTACATATATTTGATGAGTTGCACAGACCATCTTTCAGTTTCTTCATATTATTTCCATATTGTTCCTTTCAACTCTCAGATTCTCTCAGAACATCGCAGTATTACAAGCTACCTGCAAAAATTTCATCCTGATGAAGATGGACCATTCGGGATCACTGCCACGTGCCTTGAAACGTTTATTAAAAGTTGCGCAGGGTACTCTGTTATCACATATATACTGGGCATCGGTGACAGGTGATTACCAGTATGCCAGTCTTCATGGAAATGATTTCGCTGCCACACTCATTTTTTCTTTATTTTTCTTTGCTTTTATTCTCTTTAATAGCATTAGTCATCATTTTTTTTTTTTGGTTTCCCTTACGACTGGGGTTAATGTTGGTAATCATTTACCGATAGTTTAGTATGTGATATAGCTATTTCGCAATAGAACTTCATCTTAATAAACCTGAAATTAACAGCTCTTCTGAACTGCACCCTGTGAATTTTTTTATTGTGTTTAAAAATGGAGCTCTTAGCTTATTTATCTTCTTGGTCCACAGGCACCTTGATAATTTACTGCTCCAGGATGATGGCCGTCTTTTCCATGTTGATTTTGGTTTTATTCTCGGTCGAGATCCTAAGCCCTTTCCACCACCTATGAAACTTTGCAAAGAAATGGTTGAAGCTATGGGCGGAGCAGAAAGGTATTTGACATAAATCTAAGCTATTAGGTTCTACATCTGAGTTATGTTTCATGCATTTATCCGAAAATGTTGCACGAGCTCTTTCTATGTTTCATATATGGGCTAAACTGAAAAGAAAAAAAAAAAAAGAAAAAAAGAAAAAAAGAAGTAAGCGAAATCAGACATTTCATTCATTATATTTTGTACATATCCTTTTGTATCGAGCGACGTGTAGAATGTTGGACAGGCGTGCTCCCTTTTGATGTAAATTATTCACTGTTTTGGTAAATTGTAACATGCGTTAGGATTTGCATTCTAGCTTATGCTATATAACTGTCATGTGTATTTTGGAGGGGCAGGTGGTCCCCAATTTGTGCTTGGGAATTTTATTGCATTTCAGGTTAGGGGTGCATGGCACGTTTTGGATCCTCTATTGTGATTCCTGTATTGTTGTTGTGGGGGTAAATATGGTAGACTTAATGTTTTCCTTTTTCTTCTGTTTGTTCTCTTGCAGTCAATATTATACCCGGTTCAAATCATACTGTTGTGAAGCATACAATATCCTAAGGAAATCAAGCAACCTAGTGCTGAATCTGTTTCATTTGATGGCGGGGTCCAACATTCCTGATATAGCTTCTGATCCTGAAAAAGGCATTCTTAAGGTGTTTTCTTGTTTTAATTACTCGTCTATCCAGGTTAAGTCGTAATTTACTGACTTCAACTTTCCTTCTGTAGCTTCAAGAGAAGTTCCGGTTGGACTTGGACGATGAGGAGTCAATACATTTTTTCCAGGATCTTATCAACGAGAGCGTCAGTGCATTATTCCCACAAATGGTGGAAACCATTCATCGTTGGGCTCAGTACTGGCGCTAATGAGAATGAAAAAAATGCTTTGAGGTGCAATACAAACAGGTATGCCCACCCACCATTTATTCTGCAGAGTACGGATATAATTATCTCAAAATAAAGATGAGATTGGTTCGGTGGTAAAACAGAATACAACTGTACAGTCGTTTGTTATTGGATGTTTATTGTATAGCTTTCAGATCATTCATACTCTGTTGTATCAAAGCTTTGTGTTTGTAAAATTATAGTTTGGATCAATGTAAAATGGTGAATGATGACACATTTTTCAGCTAATTTATTGTTGTCCATGGCCTTGTTCACTTTCATAAAAATAGCCCTCAACACTTTACTGAAATCAAAACATGTACAATGATCAAGATTCGAACCAAATGAAATTCGTGGATAAAATCGAAAGGAGCGTTACGACAGTGAAAAACTTGAAAACTGAATAAGGGGCCGTATTAAATTGTTTTAAAGAAGTAGCCCCTGTTTGAAAACTACTAGAATGGGAAATTTGGGTAAAATGCATTTTGGAATAGTAATTTTTGGAAAAATGTGTGGTTAAAAAAGCAGGAAAAGTTTTTGATTTACATTTAATATTATTTTATTGAAAAATGTGATTGAAAAGAAGAGACAGAAAAATGTATTAAAATTTTAAAGGAAATCAAACAAGGGGAAGGAATAAGACATAAATCAATTACTTGCGCAGTTAATCGAGTACGCTTTGTAGGGCTCAAGACAGTGTTTATCATTTGCTTTGCATAATAACTTATATTCGAATGATGTGTTTAGATCTAGCTTCACCAGCTTGTCTAACGGTGGAGAGTGCACGAAGTACCCATTACTTAGGGACAATTCGGTCACTAATTCAAAAGAATAATGCTATTTATCATTATTGGTATTGTTTAGGTAACATTAAGCGTCATTAAATTAAAGGTACAATTTAAATAAATAATATAATTTTACATTTAATCAAACATATTATATAATACAGTTGTGCTAATTGTTGTACACCCTTATACCCTTCTCACAACGAGGGAGTTCACAATTATAAAATTCATTTGGGCACTAACATTGTGAGTGAATTGTATACCACGGTGTATAAAAAATTTTATTATATATAATAATATATAAATTGATACTAAATAGCTTTCATTCAAAAAGGGGCAATTTTTTTTTTTTTTTTTTGTAATCAACTAACTTATGATTTTATTTCATTTTAACTATCCAACTTTGATTTGTTACAATTTAATCATCCTACTTACTTTCATGTTTTACGATAATTTCGTCCGTAATTATGACCAAAAACATCCATTCCCACATCATCAACAAAATGCAGGACTCTGCGCTTTCTCAATTCTTAATCAGCAGTTAATTAAAAGAAGCTGAGATTTCATAAAGTGAAATTTAAAGTTCTTAAATTCACTCATTTGAATTTTCTTTATGACAAAAATGTTTCGATTTCCATATTCAAGTAGGATTAATTGTTATCTTTGAGCACGATTAAGAAAAATATGAAGTTGAATTACAGGATGAAATTGAAGTGAGGGACCAAGATGAACTTCCCCTAAATAAATCAAGGATCTAATTCCACTATATAATATAAATGTCCACTACTGCATAAATGTTCATCCTTCTAAAGTAACTGTCCATCCCTCGCGTTAATCTCAGGTAGCTCCATATTTCTCTCTCTAACTTCGCGTCCGGACTAATTTTTCAGGTATATCTATAATCTCTAAATACGTATTATTCAATATGCTTTACCTAGAGGTCATTTTTTAATTTAATATTTCTGTTCGGATATTTTGAATTTTGTTTGCTGGTTATTTATGTATGTATAAGGTTTTTTATTTTTTAATTATGTATTTTTTTTTTCGAGTTGGAAATGTTTGTATAATGAAAGCAGCTTTTTTTGTGGAACAAGGATACGAGCAATTGAGTATTGCTACATTTTTTTTTTATGATCTGATCTCAAGATTTAGCATTCAAACCTTTTCGATCCAGTGGAAAAATTCCATTATTTAATGTAATTGTCTACCTGCTTGATTAAAAACAGTATTTTTGAGAATGGAGAACTCGATTATTAATTTTTTTATGAAGTTTTGCAAGGGGTTAACGGTAGTCTGTATCTTGAGTTGGTTATACAGTTTTGATCTACGATCCATTTGATCTGATAAATTTTTATTATAGTAATTGGGTATTTGACGCTGTCAGTTGTGAATTATAGGCATGTTTTATCATATTTGAATTTGTTTAGTTTAAATTTCTGGGGAAGGATAATTTGTAGAGATCAAAAGTGTGGACTAGAAATTTAGCATTTTGAAGTGAAAAAAGGCACTATTCTTGCTATGATTGAATTAAAATTTACATTTGGGAGGGCATAGGCAAACACCGTGTCTTGTGTATCCAGGGACATCAATGCCAGTAGACTATTTCATCTTTTCATGAGAAATTGTTTCATGGTTGGTATATTTATTTATAATTATATTGAATTTGAAAACTGGTATGTGTACACTGTTGATTATAATCCATAGTATTTGATTTAATGACTGAAAATCACATATGTAAATTCATATCTTTATATACTTATCTAAATACACTTCATTTCCTGGTTATATATAGGAGTCAAAAGCAAGAAAGAGAAATGGGGTTGACATTCACGAAGTTGTTCAGCCGGCTTTTTGCCAAGAAGGAGATGCGGATTCTGATGGTTGGTCTTGATGCAGCTGGTAAGACCACCATCCTGTACAAACTCAAGCTTGGAGAGATAGTCACTACAATTCCCACCATTGGTATGGCCTCTTAATTATGCAAATTTAATATCTCCATTTCTCTTAAATACTTTGTTCTTGGCTTTGATAAGTTATGTACTTGTGAAACTGAAATTTATCCAGTTTTCTTTTGTTTGTTTCAAATTGAATGCTGCTCTTTAATATTTACTTTCCTGGGTGGCTTCACCATTGCTCTGCAGGTTTCAATGTGGAAACTGTTGAGTACAAGAACATCAGCTTTACTGTTTGGGATGTTGGGGGTCAGGACAAGGTGGAAAATTTGTTCTTAACTTGTCCCATGATTGATCTATGGCTATGATTTATGTATCTATATTAATAAATTTCTATAAATTGTCTAAGACATGATAAAACTTTCCGACTCTTGTGGTGTTTCCATTGCACAGTAGAAAGATTCCAGTTTTCTTTAATTGAATTCTCATGCACATATTTAATCAATTTATCCACTTCCACAGATCCGTCCATTGTGGAGGCACTACTTCCAAAACACACAGGGTCTCATATTTGTGGTGGATAGCAATGACAGAGACCGTGTGGTGGAGGCAAGAGATGAATTACATAGGATGTTGAATGAGGTAAAATGTCCTACTTTGTTCATATGACTTTGAAATTCTAAGACAGAATTTGTTGGAAAGGGGAATGAAAAAGATAAGTTATCTTATTAGATTTTGATAAAGGTCGATGAAATATTTGGTTGAAAGTTGTGTCTCATGAAATGTGTGGTTAACATTAATAATTGATTTTGACTTAGATTTTTATCAAGATTTTAAGCTACACCAAAACGGGGCTTGATGTGTTTTATTATTATTATTATTATTATTATTATTTTTGGGTTGGGGTGGGGGGTTTGTAAGGTGATGTGATTAATAAAAGATGTTTCTCATGTGTCCAGAGAATAGATAATTTATTGTTACCTTTCTTAATCAAGCATCTTCTCAAGAGCTTCGCTGTCATCTTTAGTTTCTTCATCTCCACAACTACGAGTAATTGGTTAGGAAAGAGATCATAAATCTCATTTTCAGAATAGGTGTGAGCAGATATGAAATGAATTCAGTACAAATTACAGGTATTTCTAACCAAGGGGCCTTTGAGTAAGAAAATATTTTTCTTTGCTTAGGTCACTGTTGCAGAATCTGTCTTCGAAATCATTTAGTTTAGAGTGACATCAACAATATGCAATGCACTGCATGATGCTGCATGATCTGAAACGGAGAACCAAGATAGATGTGCTTTTATGAGTTTATATATCTTGCAAAACTAATGATGAATCCATTTATTATTATTATTATTATTATTATTATTATTTTTTTTTTTTTTTTAAAATAAAAATCACAATAACTTTATCATAATCATAGTGGGAGAAAGATAGTTCACAAGGTGTATACGACACTGAAAGAGTGCTGAAGCTATCAAAAAACTTCCATCTAAGTATCTCAATCTGTATTAAATTATTCGTAACCCTACTATCAGAAATTTTCTAATTAACTAAAAGAAATAGTACAAATTATAAGGCAATTGACAAGTTAAGTAGCTGATCTGATATATAAATGCACAGTAGCCTAGTTTTGCATTTGTGTTGAATTGATGAAAATAGAATAGGGTATATTTGAGATTAAAACCCCATAAAATAAATTGATTTGTTTTAATTTGTGCATATTCCAGAATCATTCAAGTGAGACTCGGGTTTCTGAGTTTATTTTTGTATGTACCTGCAAATGACTTAGGCAAGTTAATTTGCTGTACAAAAAGAGTGCAGTCTGTTTATCACAAGCATTAGAAGTTTCTTTACCCAAGTGATAATGGGATTAGTCCTAATGGGAGTGGGAAAATAGAGAAAAAATCATCACACTTGAATCTTTGGCAAGTCTGTATTCGGACGATCCTGAATCACCGTTGCTAGTGCTGTTTCTTTTAAGCAAATAGATGTTCTAGGTGGTTATATTCTTGAACTTACAATGTCATGTTCACCTGTTGGCTGGAATTTATTGGCTGCTTGCTTCAGGACGAGCTAAGAGATGCAGTATTACTTGTATTTGCCAACAAACAAGATCTTCCTAATGCAATGAATGCCGCTGAAATAACTGATAAGCTAGGCCTGCACTCGTTGAGGCAGCGTCACTGGTACATTATTAATCTTGGCATTTTGATGGTCCGTGCTTTTCAGCTTTTTGAAATGTTTTATTGAACCTTTTTTTATTCTCACTTCAAGGTACATCCAGAGCACCTGTGCTACCTCTGGAGAGGGGCTTTACGAGGGGCTTGATTGGCTCTCTAACAACATTGCTAACAAGGCAAGTAGCACCTCTCATTAGTTCATCTTATATTGTCGTAAAACTAAACACTTACGAAAGATGGCTTGCTACAAATTGCTCTCCATTTGATTACTTTATCAGCTGCCCGGTTTTTGACATCCGTTCCATTCTGCAGGCATAAAACTTCATGCAGTTAGTTATGCTGAGTTGATGATGGGTGGAGGCGGTTCTTATCTAGTCTTATATCTCTATTCTGTGTGGTTATGGATTTTTCTCTTTTCAAGTCTTTCTTCGTCTAGGACCTTTATAATGGTTGGCTGTATGATGCACTGGTTTGTTTTGTATGATCACAAATGTTTGTGTAGATTTGAATATAATGCTGTTAAACCAAGCATATGAATTGATCGAAGATCACCCATTTTGATGGTTAATATTTTCGTGCTCATTTATTTTGTGGTTTCTTTTTTTATCGCGTGTCATAGCATGTTGATGTATGTGGCCCATGAATGATTTGAGCAATAGAAACTACGTCGGTCGAG